ACCGGTGCGATTGGTCTGGCTGAGTACACGTAGTTATGAAATACTATCCTCAATAACATACCGGGTGGGGCACGAAAAACTTTCCACCCAGGTTTTCTCAGGTGTTAGGTGTTTAATCAAAAATCGCTCAGACACGTCAATTTTTGTTTTTTGGGGGACACATTTTATTGGCATTTTCACCCCCTAAGTGGGGGTAACAGGTACCCTCAAAATTTCAAATGGAAAGAGTGGTCGAGTGATATGTCATTTGATAGCTATTTTCATTGAGATTATATCTCCGAAGTTTTAAGTTGCTACTATTTACCCTGTCGAAATGGCGGCATGTCAAAGTTTATGAACATGATTACAATAACGAGTGTGAAAGTTTAGAACGACGATGTCGTAGACCGAGTCGTTCTAATCACACGCCCAGCGATGTACAGTTGCGATCAAAAAAAAGTAGTACAAGAAAAATCTCCAAAATCTCCTGGTCTATTATACTTTAATTAAATTCATAACCAAAAATGACATATTTTTGGTATTTTTCGACAAGTTTTTAACCTAGAAAGCTTCAGATGACATTACTTTGGCATTTTTCTACCTGTTTTTAACCTAGAATATGTCATTCCTTGTCAAAAGTTTGTATGCTACACCGGGAGCTCAAATTGGGGTTAATAATTTTTGTACTACTTTTTTTTGATCGCAACTGTACAACGTTTTATCTACAAAGCGAAAAATAAGAATGATTTTTCAATTATTTTCGTTTATTAGTAGTTGTCTACCTTCATTTCACCATTACAGGTTTAACGTTGACATTTGTCAAATCCCCAAAAATAGTTGTGTTATGGATTCATAACCTAGTCTATAACACCACTAGTTATGTTATGAATTCATAACCTAGTCCATAACATCACTAGTTGTGTTATGAGTCTCATGACATAACTCAAATACTAGAAAAATGGTTATGTAAAAACGTCATAACCAAACGCTTGTAGATAAAAGAAAAAACAACATCCAGAGAAATATTAGAAACCTTGAGAAGCACATATATGAAAACAGGAGTTGCAAGTCAAGTTCACTTGCAACGGAAATTAAGAAACCTAAAGTTTTCTGGAAGGAAGCCCTCAAAAAACTTTCTCATGGAATATGAACGGACCATGTCAAGAGAGTGAAGCAATTTCTCAGTTGCTTGCTGTAATGCCCGACTCAGGGTGTGACAACAGCACTGGATGTGCTATTAGGCCAAGGAAGCACAGTGACATTAGAATTTGTCAAGAGCAAACTGTTATCATCAGAAGAAATAAGACAAATGAAAAATTATGGACGGGAACAAAGTTCAAGTCAAGCTTTTGCAGGTTTTAGAAAGAAATGGAACAATGAAAACTACAATAAAACTGGAAATTCTAAAGGAAACCAAAACAATGCAGGCAGTTCATATGAAAATCATGGAAATAGCTCCAGAAAATTCCCATTCAAATGTCATTATTGTGGTATCAAAGGCCACAAAAGAGCACAATGCTTTAAAAGAAAACAAGACATGAATAAAAACAGATGTAATTTGATTGAGGAACACTCAGCACCGCAAACGTTCGTTTGTGGTGGCATTTTTGGCGACTAACATTGAGCGATGGGTGGACGAGGTGAGAAATTGTCGAGAACTTATCGATATCGTTTGTTTGTGGTTCGCCTCCTGATCTGTGTTTTGCAGTTACATACTTTAGCCAGTTTCAGAACTGTAACAACGATGAGCATTGGAAATATTTAAAAAGTATATTGAGATATTTGAAACTTACAGAGAACTATGGGCTGAGGTACGTAAAATCAAAGCATAGTTTTAACGGTGGAATTGTTTCAGCCTATGTTGATGCTGACTACAGGAGGAGTATTTCTGGTTTTGGGATTAAACTGTTCAATAATTTTGTTTGTTAGAAGAGTAAAAAACAAACAACAGTTTCTCTGTCAAGTGCAGAGGCTGAGTATATTGCTCTGTCAAGTTGTGTAACTGAATGTTTGTTCATTGCGCAACTACTGACAGAAATTTTAAATAAAAATATTTTTCCTGTCAGTGTATTTGAAGATAACCAGTCTTGTTTGTATAAAGATGACAAACACACTTGCTTGAAACAAAAAGAACAAAGCATAATAAAGTGAGACTCCACTTTATGCGAGACTGTATCAAAAGAAACGAAATAAATTTGTCATGTGTTTCTACGACAGAGCAAACAGCAGATATTTTCACAAAAGCTCTGTGTATTGCGAAATTTAAATATTTTAGATTGAAATTGACTATTAACTGTAGTTTCTTTAGAATAAAAAAAATGATTCTGAACTTAAGATTTTTTTTTTTTTTTTTTGGTACAGTCACCTGAAGTCACACCTGTTTTTTCCATATACTTCACCCCCTCGCTCCTCACACGGAAAGTGTCAGATAAAAATCGACGAACAATATTTCTTAGCTTTCGCACCTGGTGTCGGTAAATTGGCCGTCTACCCAACTAAGGCCCATTATCACAATCGCCGGTGACTGGAAGATGTCTGACGGATTAGGGTTAACTAGTAAAATTTCGTTCCACAATCTCGGGTATACCAAAATCTTTTGGTTAACCGCCAGTATACTTTACCAGCGCTTCAAGTTTGGGTTTACCCTAGGTTTTCTCAAAAAGTAACCTACAACTACTGTACCTATATTTTTTAATGAAAAATTCGTATATTTTAAAACAAGAATATTATGATAATATAAATAGACCCTGAGATAGGGCCTGTTTAGTGGAGTCTTTTTTTTTTCTGGCATTTTGAGGGATGAATGTGACTAGTTAGCTGATGGGAATATAAGTGGTTTCAATTCCAGCCTCCTGTTCGAAATGTCCACAGAATGTTTCGCCGGAAAACTCGATTTCGAAATGTGATTACCGTCTGGCGATTTTTCAGCGTTATTTTCACAACGAAACCTTTCATTCTCTCGATTGCCAGACAAAAAGTGAACCTGGAAGGTTCTTTTCTTTTCTCTTGGAAGTTGACACCCATCCCCATTTTTTCAGCTATTGAAAAGCATCTGATATTTTTCATGGGTGAATTATTTATCAATGTCAATCTTTTATTTAAAAGCTAGAAAATTTGAGATCATTAAAAAAAAATTCTTCATGTAAAATCTGTTTTTTTTTTAAAGATAATTCCCCAAGTCAAAAATTTAGTAACTATGTTGGCAATACAAGCCTTTTCTACATGAAAAATTTGAAAGCATTGACAATTTTATATTGTATTGCCAACCTAATGTCAGTTTGACTTTTATCTTTAAAAAAAAAAACGCACTATCAATTTTTTTCTTCAGCAAATTTTCGAACGCGGGGCTGGCATTAAAATCACCCATATTCTCATCAGTTTAGTAACCACATTCAGACATAATTATTTTACCTAACACAAAAAAACCTGCTGGCCTTATTCCAAAAAATCACTGAATAACAATCTGAATAGCTTCAAATTTCCTTGCTTATTAAAACTTGGATTACCGAAGTATAATTCAAAGTATAGAGGTACTTGGCTTGAAGATTTTTTTTTCAAATCTAAAGGAATAAACAATGAATAAATAATGACACACAGATAGTGACATTCTTTGATAATGACAAGTTGGAAGTTGGCATATTATGTTATTCTTTTTCTTATCAATCGTATACCAACCATGCACATGTGGTAAGGTATACATAGGAACAACAAAAAGATCTATGGGAACCAGGATCAACGAGCACAAAAGAAACTGCAGACTAGGACAATCGGAAAAATCGGCATGCGCTTAGTGAAGGAAATCACGAAATACTATTTGTTAAGTTCAAGCTTCCTGCACCGACTTCTGGATACCATAATCGTCTTGTACGTGAAGCTATAGAAATCCACAAACTTAACCAAATCTAGAACCCGATCCTCAAAAACGCAAGAAAGATCCCATTGAGTATAGAGAAAGTTCAGATAAGCCACGTGCTGCGAAGCCATCCCCCACCACAACCACTCACACATAAATACAAGTTGCAGTCGGGAACGCGTCAGTCTACTACCAAAATCGGACATGGAAGCACCTCTGAAGATGCTAGCTACGGGTGCTAGCGAAACGTCAGGAAGAAATTCCAACTTACGACGGTCATTATGCCCGAATGAAAACACTTTCTCAATAAACCTGGGCCGCGAAAGCCTCACAAACTTTATTCTTCTGGAAAGTTGACCTAGGAGGAATAAAGTGACTATTGATACCTTTCTTTGGGGCCATGAAGAAATGTTAAAACTATAACGAAAAGTTTAATCATTTGGTTGTTCTGGCATCATTCATCATTGTGTGGCGACCAGCGTTGAAGGATCTTGTCTGCTGAGTCTTGATTTGTGCTCGCATCTTTTCTATTTCTCCTGGTGGGTCAGTGGTTTGTTAGCTCGACATAGTGAGGCTCAACTTCTGCTTCAGATTGTCTCTTCTAGAATGGAGTGATGTGGTTAAGCGGCGCCTAGCTGTTTCAGTTAGGTCTCGTATTTGTTTTCCATCCTCGACCTTTGCCGTAATGCAGGAGTTATTCTGGATAGAGCTGTAAGCGCATCGCAGTTCTGGTGGCCCAAGACAAGGAGGTTGGATTTACTCCTTCACATTTCACGCACTTTGGATTCGATTTTTTTGGTATCTTCTAGCCTTGTGATCTTCTGCGCCTTTGACACCTTTTGGCTGTTTTTTGCAGATGAAGGTGCGTTGTAAACGTTCAATTAGATTCTTGACTTCTAGTACACATCTCATAGCTATCCGCTCTTGCGGATTCATTGGGTGGAATTGTTGTTTTATGGCGCTCTATTTTGATAGCATTAGAACAATATCGTGAAGGAAAGACTACGGACCTTATTTGAAACGACTTGCAGAAACTGACTGGTAGGTGTCTATAGAAATTGTGAAGACCCTTTTTACTTTGCGGCAATTTCTGTATAAAACTTTGCCTCACATCATCTCGCATTATCGAGACAGGACTATTGACTAAATTTTTTTAAATTAATTTCAGTAATGTCTAGAATGTTAACATCGCACGATTGCGATTTTTACTGGTCAATGCGAAAAGAGCCTTCGGATATCCAACATCGAGCAAATACCTACAAGCAAATCAACCGATTCAGCCGGTCGTTGTTTGCCTCTAAAGAAGGCTTAGCACTATTGCTTCAACAATCCTATTGGTATGCCGAGGAAAATGTTTCAAATGTTGGTAAAAATAATAAAACCCATGTCTTATCTTTATTGATAGACAATTTCAGGTAAATTTCCCACGTTGCTACGTTCTAGGCTTCCCAGACCATTACAATTTGTTCGTTGACGATTTTCGTATGACAGCCTGTATTGGAACTCTCAAATGGTTCACAGGAAGATACGAAGGTAAAAAAGTGGTGCATTCAATCGAGGGCACAGTACCACATTCTGCATTCAATTTTGCTTTGGAACGGTATGCAAAGATTTTTGAGGTATGATTTTTTTTTTAAATAAAATTTTGAAGATGTTCAGAATTTATTGCTGGTCAACGTCATTTGGACATCGATAAGGAATTCAACAGAGTATGGGATCATGAATGGGAGCAGTTTTTAGGATATTTTTATGCAGTGGTTCACCATGATGAGCTTTTTATGGATTTCAAGGTAATCTCGGTGTAAGGAGGGTTGAGAACTCTTTGCTATTCAAGCGTTAACTGTAGGACAACGGAGAACTTATGACAATTATTCCCATTGCATATTTTTAATATTTCACAACTTAATCACAGGGATGTCATCAGTTAGTCGAGAACCCTGGTCATACTTTACTCACTTTTGCATCACTGGTGAAAATAAACTATGCATAAAACGTAACACAATCTTGCATTGTATGACAACCATTATATTTCCAATTTGATATATATTTTTTTTTAATGCAAAAGGGCCAATTACTGAATAACTACGCACAAGCGAAACTTAAACTAAAGGAAGTTGCTCTCCATTGGCCTCAGTACGATTTGGATGGCACGAAAAATATTTGGATAATGAAGCCTGGAAATAAGTGTAGAGGTAGAGGGATTCAGCTGGTCAAAAATATAGCCGAAGTCGATAAAATAATGAGCTTGAAGATCAAGTATGTCGTTCAAAAGTACATTGGTAAGATTATAATTTTAATGTGTTTTTAGTTATCCCAAAATATAATTAAGGTTTGTTTCAAGACGCTAAAAAATCCAAACCCAAACTCATAACATTGGTTCGATCATCTTGAAACAAAACTTCCAGTAAATTTAAAAAGTAACAGTTTTTTTTAGAAAAGCCCTTAATAATCTACAACACCAAATTTGACATTAGACAATGGTTTATGGTAACTAGCGTTCAACCGTTAACAATTTGGATGTTCAAGGATAGCTACCTAAGATTCAGCGGTCAAACTTTTAGCTTGGAAAATTTCCACGAGTCCTTACACCTCACTAACCATGCTGTCCAGTGTAAATACCCAAATGGACAGCAAAGGGACAAAGCCTTGCCTGATGACAACATGTGGGACTGTCACACGTTCAAGGCGTATTTAAAACAAATTGGTTGTTTGGAAAAATGGAACCAGGTGATTGTCCCAGGAATGCAACAAAATATTGTATGCGCTATGTTGGCAAGTCAGGACACGATGGATAGACGTCCGAACACTTTTGAAATTTACGGTGCTGATTTTATGCTAACTGAAGACTTTACTCCGTGGCTTCTGGAAATCAATTGTAGTCCAGATTTGTCGTTTTCTACTTCGGTTACTAGCAGATTGTGCCCTCATTGTATGGAGGACGTTATTAAAGTTGTCATAGATAGGAAAAAAGACCCAAATGCTGATACAGGCCTTTTTGAAATGATTTACAAACAAAACCATCCGAAAACTCCACCGTATTTAGGCATGAACTTGTCTGTAAGAGGCAGGAAGATATTTAGAGGCAGAAGTAGATCTAAGCCTGAGACAAAAGTATACCTACATTTTGCATGATAAATAGTTTGCTTTATTAAAAGCTGTTTTTTTTAATTTAGGATCCACGTGAAAAGGCCTTTAGTAGTACAAAAAAACCGAAAAGACCACCAGAGTTTACGAAGGCTGAAATGCTTAATGATATTGCAGCTTCGAGAGCTTTGCCTAAAATATTGTCTCCGGATATTTATTCTGGGCCTGTTATTGAGGATCTTATCGAGGAACTTCACAAAACAAGTAAGATGAGAACAATCGTGACTCTTTTAGAAATAATTAGGAACTTAGTAAAACGTCTTTATTTATCTGAATGTTTAGAGAAGATAATTATTATTTGTAGTTGTTGAGGGAAGGCTCCTTTTATATTTTGTTATTGAAGGAGCAAAAAAAGATGTTGGTGTAAAAGATCTATCAGAATCCTTGGACCAAAATGTTGGGGTTATTGTTTGCATAATCCCTTGACCCAAAGAAGCTGTTTCCTTATCATTTTTCACTACAATAACTGTCTTCATAAACAGCAAGAGGTTAACTTCTTTATCTACCGAAAGTCATACTGTCAGTCAATCTATGATAGCCATCACAAGTTTGGAACGATTTCACATAGTAGGTGTACCTACCTTGACAATTTTGCAGCTGTTGCAATTATTCTTTGTTTTTCTCCCGCTCCATTTTCCCCTTTTGGAGTTGTGTAGCTGAAGAATGGAAGAAGTACTTGTTCGAAAAGTTTCATCATTTATTCGTCATTTTATGTTTCACCTTATAGTTCTGCAACTTTCTGTCCTATAAAATACTGTTTAGAATATGCATGATATCCTGAACCACAAGACTTCAGTTTTGCTTGTATTCCTTTCACCAAGTAAAAAACATTGAATAAGATGAATATGTAGAGATCCACCCAAGTACTCTATTAATTAGTTAGATGGTAAATGGCGAGCGGTTCTATTTGATGTTAATTATTTTCTCCGGTTACTACAAAATTAAGTGGTGAAGACTCAAGGGGGTCTATTTGCAAATGAGAGAAACAACTGTATAATAGTTTTCATAGATATTTTATTTACTTAAACAGCACTATCAATTTAGGAGAATACAGCCTAAGAATTCAGCACAACAGGACAGGCACACGACAAATAAAGAAAAATTTTATATTAACAAATTCTTACTTCAATGATCATACATTGAAACCATCTAGTTATAGTCTCAAATTTCAGATTGTAAGTACATGTAACTTACAATCTGTCCTTAAATACACAAACGATCAAAATTACTGTCAGTTACTTAGCACGCACAAAGGAAAACCTGATACTACTTTATGACTCTTACTGGACAATAGTCAATCGCAAACTTTTTAGCTTTTTGCCCGGGGCAACACACCTTAGACCGACTCCACTCACTGCCAATTTTCTTGATTCTTAAAATCTTACTATCAAATAAACTGCTGGATGTTATCTATCCTCTTTTCTGATTGTAACCTGCTTAAATAGTACTCAATTCCCACCAAAAATCTGTTACGTGGGCGGTAATTTAGCATTTCTCGAACCAATCCTCTTATTTGACCTCGTTTATCGAGTGATAAACGACATTGTTGTTTTCCAAGAATTGTTTTTTTTTCAAGTTTTTATTTAGGATATGATGTACCATCCGGCGGAAACACAGGTGTTGTAGTTTATCAGTTATGATGAAATTAAATCACATGAGTATAGTGATTTCCGGTTAAACGCGTCCTAATTTAATAAATTTTTTTGACTTTTTTTTTTATCGGAATGTCGCAAGAGTCTATTAATTGGGGACATCGAACTCTGACATCCGGTCGCTTATCGCTTGTGTTGGTAAAAAAAATGTTATGTAATTTGAATGGAACTTAGAAATTTCGCCATTTTTTTATTACTATTTTTATACGAAATTAGATGCTGGATTGCTAGGAGATTTAATAAGTTGAGATTACATTATCTTGCAACTGACGTAGGTACTTTTCTAATTAAAATGATTAGAAAAATGCTTTTACCAATTGAGTTGTTATATTTTCTGGGATTTTAGCACCTCGAAATTTTTGGGGTCGCCACAAATATTTCAAAGTACACAAGAGAAAATTGATTTGAATCTTGCAGGGTTTACATTGCTTGTTTATTTTTAACTGCTAAATATGTATAGGTAACAGTAGTTAATAAGTACGTTAATAATTATTTTATTTTATTTTAGTATACAAATCTGACAGTGGGATAGATTTCGTCCTGCCAGTCAACAACAAAGCTGACAACCAATTAGACATCGTGGTAAAAAAGAAACCCTCGACCAGAGGCGACAGGGTACCAAAATACTGTTTATCGCGTCACAAAATTAACCAAAAATCTTGTTTGTCTAGAAAAACAATAGGCGCAAAAGAAAACACCAATCAGCGATGCCAAAGCAGCAACAACACCCAAACTCAGCGTAGCGGCGCGAGTCAACGCAATAATAACAATTATTTTGGTTTATTTAGGCAATGGGCGAAGAAAAATCCGGAAATTAATACTGCAACGCGCGATAATTGGGAGAAAGGTACCGTCAGTATACTGAAGGGCGAAAATATTAATATACAAAATAAATGTGAAGTTGGTAACAATAGTGTTCAGGACGCTAATAAAAACTTCGTTAAAAACTTGCCGTGTCTGAATTTGCATACTTTTGATTTGAACAAATTGCTGCCGGAAATAAATGCTAGTAGTTGTAGAAGTAGTACTTTTTGAGATTTTTTTCTAAAAAATAATTGTTACTGCCATTTTATTCGATGTTGCTCTATAATGAAAAATTATACAACTTGTTCTTGTGCACTGCCAAAGGCTAAGTTTAGTATGAAACTATAAACTATTGTGATTAATGTGTAACAAATACATATTTAAGTAAAATACTTGTTTCATTTGAAAAAAATTCCTGTAAAATGTGTGAGTTGTTGAACCGTCATCGGTTTAGAGTTGATCTTTTCGCCAACACTAGTTGCTGATGGCATTTTTAGAAGTTTTCCGACTACTTGCCAAGAACTGATCCCATTTATGTGAAGTTCAACTAATATTATTGCGAATGATGAACATAAGTTTGAAATGGTATGTAGGTGTGAGACCCCAAATTCAGAAACTTGGCAGGATGTTAAATTGGCGAGCGGTGACTTTAGTTTCTGAGTGGAGACACAGTTTAAAATGGGTCCTATTTGCGGGTGGAGAGTAAAACACAGAAATATTGTGGTCAATTAAATAAAGTTTATTTTATTAAAATAAATAAAACAGGCGTCGGTAATAAATAATCTTACAATAAAATTGTCAGATTTCTAATAAGCATCAATTAAATGTTGAGGAAAATCTATATGATTCCAAGTAAAAATTTTTATTTACACTTTGACTCGATTCACACTCTTGCCTTCACAATTTCTGGCTGAACATAACAACACTCTACTTACATTTAACAATAATATATTTACTGCTGGCCACACCTAATTACATGGAAATCTTATTGGTCGAAGGAATTTACTCTAATTATGAACACTTAATAAAAAACTCGAATATTTTCGCGCTGTTACTTCACGTCGTGCTTCTTCTCTTGGTTAATTCGACAACTCTTTCACGCCGTAGTTCTGACTTTCTAGACACAGGTATCTCGATTCTCGATTACTACTTGTTTCTTGATTACTCAACCGACACTGGTCCTTCACGCCGTAGTTCTGCCGGTTTACTCACTGATTTTCTCCTGCCAAAGTTGCCTTTTTATATCATTGGTCCCTCCATTGTCTTGAATTTCTTTACTTTTTCTGACCTCGATTTTTCGTGGTTGGATCATCCGATCAATTAGTCTATTTGGTCCCCTTTTAATTAATTATCAAGGGCGTCGCTAAGTGGTTTGTTAAGTGGGTATCATCATATAGGCTCGTGCATGATTTATTGATCCTTTTAAAAAAAAATCAGCTTCTTTGGAATGTTAATTGTTGAATGCACTTTAAAAAAAAGGTCCATGAACTTTTGCTTTATTCACATTCCAATGTATTAGTCAATATAGGGTATCGGCTTTCAATAATTTCTGGATATTGATATTCAGATAATTTTTAATTGAAGTTTCTGGTTGTGCTGTCTAAGTGATGATCTCTCCTAGGATGGTTGTTTGGTAAGTCCTTGTTATTATTGATTAATTTTCGGTAGTTGGATCCTAGGTCTTTAGTTGTTTAGAATAATCAGAACCTTTAATTGTTTTCTTGGTGGTTTATTTTCGCGTCACTACATAGGTGTCGATCGAAGAAGCGCCATTGGGCTGAATAAATCCAAACAAATTAAACTGAGTTCACGAGAACATCCAGAAATAATAACTAAAACAAGATCTGACTTATAATCATGATATGTTTCAAGAAATATTGTTGGGTAGGAACACTGGAATCTATCCAAAACACCAAAGGACTTTAGGCTCCTCATCCAATCCATTGAGTTTAGCGTGCTATTTCAAGACAACAAACATTATAGAACTTCATGAAACCTTGTTGGCTCGTAAAAAATGCCATTCGATTCGGATGAAAAGTAACGAGCGAGTTGCAATATTGGTCAATAGAGAATTGGAACACTTTTTCTACATATCAATGAAGAAATTGAGATACAGCGAGGCAGTAGCCGTTGAAATCAAGATAGCCGGGAAGAAAGTGAAAGTAACTTACTTTACCACTGAAAGATCAAATTTGTATGAGGACATTCGGGATCTGCTACAAGGAACAACTCCTATTATCATCATCATTTAAACAGCAAATCTCTAGTCTAGAAGGTTAGTATACGGGTAGTCGCAGTCGTCCAACAGTATTGGACGAAGTAGTTATTTGGAATGTGACAAAAGACTTCCTAGTTGAAATCTGTGAAGAAGGTACTTTGAATAGGCTCGTTCAATAAAAAAAATTTAACGCGGTTTTTCACATTTTTATGGAGTATTATTACTCACATATAGCACATAAAAAAAATTTCAGCTCAATTGGATAAATATTAGAGAAGTTACGCGTTTTTTAATATTAAAACAGTTATGCCTCGGAAATTCATTGCTGTGACGTCATAGCATCTCTCGAGTCGTGACAGGGTAAAGGCCGTCATACACGGTTTTGCATAACGCAATGTCAACTGATTTTCTATTGACAGTTTGGCACACAGTTTGCGGAACTATACAATATTTTAAATTTTGCATGCTACTTCCATAATTGTGTTTATAAAATATTGAAACTTAGAGAATTATTCAAATATACGAAATGTGATTTGGAAGAAAAACATCAAACCTCTACCAGATACATAAAATGCCAAACTAAAACTTGTCTAAACGATGCCAAACCAAAATGTGTTAAAACAATGCCCGTATTGTCGAAGTGACTGGCGTACCAGCACCGCGGCGACCGACGTGAGAGATGCAGTGACGTCACCGCGTGTTTCAAATTTGGAGTACTTTGATAATTTATTTAAACATGAACAAGAGCTCAGAAAATTATGAAATTGTGCATAGCTGCTAAACTCAACACGCTCTTTTAGAATATGTAATAAAAAAAATATGCTGTACGAGCCTATTACAATTCAATACAACTTAACAAAGAAACAAGAATATGAGAGGTAAGCACCCAAACACTGCTGACTAGATATAGCTGGACTTTAAATGAAAAATCAAAGACAAGATAGTCCAAAAATAACATTGAACAACTGAAACTTCAAGACGTCAAGAAATTGCAGTCCGGTATTATTTTGGGAGCTCATCAAGAATGGTGTGTCATCGAACCCACAAGGAAGGTAAATTGTTTTCTTCCCTTGGCTCCACTAAACAGTCCCTATATCACGGTCTATTAGGTATGTCATTCATTGAGTTTTTGAAAGTAATGTCAGAACACGTCAGAAATCAAAGACAAGAATGTCAAAAGTTTCAGGCAGAATGGTATACTAAAAACACATTGAAACAATGAGATTTTCAAAATTTTCAGTGCTTTAATAATGTCCAAATACCCGGTAAACTGTCTATAATCCTTACAAATCTTAATAATTATTATATCTTGATTTGTAGGATTTGATGAAGTTAAAAAACACTTCTGATGATGAATTTAACAAAATACTAATAAATCCTATGAAAAGTAAGGAGTTTAAAAGAAAAGAAGATGTTACCCTTGAAAAAGTAAAAAAAACCGATACATTTTGGATTTTTGGATTAATTTTGGGTTGACTTTAGGTTGTACGTGATATGACCAACGTTCTATGCAACTTAACAGACAGCATTACTTTAGGTAAAAACCCCAAAAAAACTATTTCGCCAGAAATCAACATCGAAAAAGAATTAGAAAAAAATTATAAAAAACAAGAATTAATTTACAAACGAAAAGCGGATGAAGAGGAAAAACGAAAAGCGGATGAAGAGGAAAAACGAAACGCTGGAAAAGCTAATAACAAAGAGAAACAATCAAAAAAACAAAGTGGTCAATTGAAATTAAATGAGGAAAATAATAATCGAAATAAAACTATAAGCAGTGATAGGTAAAAATATCTCCAAAGTACTTAGCTACTACAATATGATCATTATAAAATTTTAGGTACAATACTTCTCAAGTAAAACTAATCAATGCAAATAATAAACTACCTAAAATCATAAATAAATCCGTTAAGAGTAATAGTTCAAATAATCAATCGAAAATAAATCCAGCTTCTATAAACAATCAACTACCGTTAATAAAAGTGCAGCCATCTAGTAAATCAATAAAACCTATTAGTAATGCTTTAAACGTCGTCAAACGCCCTGAGAAAACGGAGCTCCAGAAAAGAAGACACCTTTCCCCATTATCCAGAGAAAATTATAACCCGTTGGGGCTAATCAGAGATGAGGTTGATAAGGCTATAAAGCAGAAGAAAACTTTCACGATAAGGGGTTCATTTGGAGTCGTGAGAAGAGCCTTATTAAGTAGAGGGTGGGTTGAGAAATTTCATACTACTTACAGGTAAGAGTTTATAGTACAAAAAGAGACTGAAACAAGTGATAAGCTATTAGGAATCAGTTCTATGTAGTTTGCATTATTACCAAATCCAAATTGGCTAAGAAAAGTAGTCAGCTATTGGGATATTGTAAAATTTGTCTACTTAATGATGATAATTTCAATAAGAGCCCAAACCTACCAATTTTGGAACATGAGAGATTCAAAAACACTAATTCCCAAATTATCGATATACGAATTATCACTCTATTTCACCATCCTCATTACCATCTATAATAATTGTGAAATTATATATTCCAGACAAAGACTCAACCAAGAACTTAAAAAATATCAACAGTACACTGTACCAGAGTTAGTGGACATGCTGAGAAACAAAGAGTTAGCTGGTTTGATTAAAAAAATAATCAAATCAAAATTGCTCAAGGACAACCAGGTGGATTTTTATTGGGATACCAGGTTTGATGCGTTTAAAGAATGTCCAGATAAAATTAAGGTAAAAATTGTACGTAGGATGTTCTCTTGTTCTCTTAAGGAAATCATCCGTAAACCAATACCAACTTTCAGCGAATAAAAATCTAACATTAATGATTCTAGCTTACTCTTATCAACAAATTTCGAAGAGAATCTTCCAGCTACACTAGCAAACAAGGACTGTGTCAAACTTCACGCGAAGCGCACTGGTTCCATATACCTGGAATAGCAAAAATTAACCATCCAAGGTAAAATCTTAGCCTCAGTATCCACTTTTTTATTATAAATTTTTATCATTATAGGTGCTACACTTTGACCAAAGGCGGTGACACGCGATATTTTCTCAATGATTTCGGTTTAACTGCATCCACGGCTCTCTTAAAATGGGTCGTGAGAAACAATGACACAGGCGGAAGTAAAATTGTTAGTAACACAGGAAAAATCCCCATGAAAACGTTTGATTTTGCAATAGCAGAGTGTTACAAGTTTATTAAAAAACATAAACATCAGGATATTGATGAAGTGATACGTGACGCTTTGGAAGTTGAATGGAAAGAATTCTTGGAGCAGTTTCATAAAGCTGTCCATGTTGGCCATCATTTTAAGTTATCAGATAAAGTACCGGATGAATACGCTGAAGCTCAAAACATGGTGCGAAAATCCACTTACTTATTAAACCAGCTCCGAGAATATATGCCCTGCATGGATATGGACGGACACATGAACATTTGGATTTTAAAACCAATAAACAGCAGCAGAGGCGAAGGGATTCATATTTGTCGTACTCTAGAATTGATTCTGGAGGTTCTTAGAAAGAATCCTACTAGGCGATATGTGGTTCAAAAATATATAGAGCGACCTCTGTTGATACATGACACGAAGTTTGATATTAGACAATGGTTTCTAGTTAGCAGCTCTTATCCTTTAATTATCTGGATGTACAAGTAAGAATTTCCAATAAATTAATTACCTACATTTACCCTATTCATTGTAGGTATTTCTATTTTTATGCATAATATGTCGATATATGACACGCATTTCTTGGTTGGCTATAATCTATTTCTATTTTAGGATTTGTTACTTGAGATTCAGCTCTCAGACTTATAATTTAAGAAAACTTCACGAGTCTATCCATTTAACGAATAATTCGGTGCAGGCAAAGTACCTCAATCGTTGCACAAGAGATCCATTGTTGCCTACCTATGGAATGTGGAATTCTGAACAATTTCAGGTGAAAATTTCAACCTTAACAGTATCTACATATATAGATGAAAACTATCTACAATGACGTTGCCAGATTATGATTAGTATAATATTTTCAGAATTATCTCTGTGACATTGGATATCCGAACATTTTCGGAAATGTTATCTATCCCGGTATGAAGCAGTGCATTACCGCGGCAATGATAGCGCATCGAGATAAAATAGACAAAAGGAAAAATTGCTTTGAACTCTACGGCGCTGACTTTATGCTGTCTGAAACGTTTGAACCGTGGTTACTGGAAATTAATTCGAATCCTGCTCTACACGGTTCGACTCCTGTTACCGCTCGGTTGTGTCCAAAAGTACTTGAAGATGTTATTAAAGGTAAGAACATATTAAAAATAGACCCTGATATAGCTCTAAGGGCGGGTATTATAAAACTACTTTGAGAGTTAACTTAAAGTTAACTTCTAGAATTACATGTAATTCAAAAAGTTAACTTCAAGTTACACTAAGTTACACAAGTTAACTGTCAAAGCAGTTTTATAATACCCACCCTAAGGCACATTGCCTTGATTTAATAAAAAATAAATTTGATAGGTACTTGATGGAAAAATTAGAGTCAATTAAAGGCGATTAACCATTCGGTTATATTGACAGATGAAAAAGGCATTTAACGTCATTTATTACCGATTGGTTGACAAATGATATTTGCTTCATTGGTTATCTGTCAACTATGACCGACCGGTTAATCGCCTTTAATCGATGTTGGTGAAGTTTAAACAAATAACACGTTCTAGCTCAGTATTAGGGTAGTATTAGGTTTTCTCTGGGGAAAACAGTCTAAACCACATGTCATTGTATAATCCAATGGTAATAACCAAATCACATAAACGCACTTTTTTCAGTTATAATAGATACTGCTAGAAATCCCAATGCAAGCCCCGGTAATTTTGAAATGATCTACAAGGAAAAACCCGAACCTCCTCGTGATATTATGCCAAAGCTGAAGTTAAAAGGAAAACCACTACCAACAGACTTTTTTTGCGACGTGGACATGGAAAGCGAACCCTCTATAAACACCAACAAAATAATGGTTCAAAAATGCATCAAAACCCCAGATGCTGGTAACATTTTACTGCAAACCGGAGAAACAATTAAAGAAGCATTAAAAAGCCTTTTAGACATTATAAAACGAGAACGGACAAAAAGGTTTGTTATCGATGGTTTTTTCGAACAAAGCGAGTTTGGCTGCATTTTTTTTAGGCGCTCACGGAGAGAAAAATCTGTAGAGGCGAAACTGGAACTAGATATTCCATATATGCACCCCTCCAAACCTGACCTAGTATCATTGTTTGAAAGACCCCAAATGGAAGAAACGTTTTCAGTCGCTTCAGAAATTTCGCAAATAAAATCTGAAGAAGCACAAGAAAATATGACTGAAGATGAGTCTAGAGCAGTTACTGAAGCATTTAGCGAAAGCAAGATTTGTTCTAATAAGAAGAGATTACTTTCTAATTTAGTTAAAGTCGTTGATACTCTAAAACGAGTTAATAAAAACTGACATTTTTATATGCTTATTTCATCAATAGAAATCATTCAAAGATCCCTCAAAATTCCGATCGTGCGAAAAATATTTGGGCGTGTGAAGAGTAGGTATCTTTATCTTTCACTCACACATTCATACACCGAAATAAGACTCCCACTCGATCGAAGGTAGTTACCTCACAGTTGCAGGAAACATAAGCTTTGTTCCAACACAGCGGAAAACTGTACAAAAAGGTGTGCGCAGAACCCAAAATTCTTGTGCTGAGTGGTTTCGAAACCGTTCATGGGACGATTTTTACGTGTTGGAACAGACCTATATAGTGTTCAACGCGTGTGAAAAGTGATATTTTCAATAAAAAATTTGTTGTATTGGGAAGAGCTTAGGTATGAATACTATTTTAACTATATGACCACTCATTGTTGAATTTCCCATGTTCGTACCATCTTGAGTTTCTGTTTCTGGATGACCATTTCTGTTAATAGTAAAACTCGGAATCTGGTTTTCAATATCATCGGTATAGTTATTTGGGGTAGATATTTGGGATTCAAATTGAGTTTTTATTTTTTTTTTCCTGAAGATTTTCGATAGGGTTCCACATTCATCTTTTGACAGGTAGATATTTGGATGGCTTTAAATCGGTACGGTTTAAGGGCACTTATGGCCCTTATGGGTTGAAACAGCCTAGAATACAATGTCAAAAACGCCACATTTTACGGTTCTCTGTTTCCTTCATTATTCCTTTGTATAAAAAAGTGTGAGGGTGACAACCTGCAACGTCACAGTCCTCTCCACTATCCTCCTTACATAAAACAAATTCTATTTCGACATCGTAATCCATTAAAAAATCATGTGCAGCGCCGTACACGTGGTAGAAGTGAAAAACTTCTTAAAGCTTATCCTCATATACCGAGTCATATACCTTTTAGTATGAGTCGGGGTAAAGACGAAGAGAACGCGCATCTGTTGTGACGTCACAAGGGTACCGGCGCTTGAAAATAATAGTTTTTAATCCTTGGCCTTGGTTTGTGCTAATCGTTTGTCGGCTATCATTGTTATTAGACTGTCTTTCTCCGTCCTTCTACGTTATATTTTTCTTCTCTCTCATGTAATGAAATTTGCCAAAACGTGACGCGTCTTTCAAATCACTCTCCATTCTTGTCCGAATATCAGACCGCCGCCTTTCACTTCAAAAATCACAGCACACTGAGCACACAAATGTAAAAATAACGAAAATAATCACAAAACACAATGATAAAATATCGGGTCTTCAAAAAAAAAAACCAATCAAAGATTGCTTTGGTTACGAAAACGTACGTCGGATTATTGTTTCTTTATTGGTCAGGATTTTTGACACGACATTTTGACAATAAATTTCATTGACTGACATTGTCAAAATTAAAGAAAAATATTGCTAAGACGTACGTTTAAAAAACCATAGCAATCTTTGATTGGTTTTTTTTTGAAGACCCGATAGTATAACCAAAGGGAGACGCGCATCTGTAGTGACGTCACAATGTAATCGGCGCTTGCCAATAATAGGCAATCCTCTTTGCGCTTATAGTCCTTGGTTTGTGTCAATCAATAGGCAATTTTTCGCGAGGAGAACCAAGCATTATCTTTTGCTGGATTATGTGATGTGTCAATTGCGTCATTATCCCCTAACTCGCCACCATCAAATTATGGGATACTCGAGGCTTAAGAACACTTATGGCGATTTCCATTTGTCAATCAGTGCGCACTGAGTGTATCCGCATCTTTTTCTAAAAGCATGTAGGTGGTAACATGTAAGGATAAGGGAACATTTTTTTTGCACTGGTTCGACAAATGGATCGCTATTAATTTCTTCTGTGAGGACGGTGAGAACAGACCGAAAATCACCTTTTCTACATTTAAAATCGACGAAAAAATTAACCCACTACCACAGCCTGAATCTCGAACATTCCATTGTGGTCTGCGGGTGACGTCATCATTAATAGCTGTTGATGGTGGCGTCACTCGCAGCCCCAGAACTTGATAGAGACGGAGTTAGGGGGAGTATGACACAATTGACCCACACCATATAACACACCATGATCAGATTATGCTTGATTATCCTCGCCAAAAATTGCCAAATAGCTGTCTTTCTTCGTCTCTTCACGTTATTTTTTCTACTCTCTCGAATAACGAAATTTCCCCGTGACGCGTTTTTTCTCTCCATTGCCTTCCAAATATTAGAACGCCGCCTAGAAGTTCTACTTCAAAAATCCATTTGTCCAAATCTGCCACAAATCAAATCCAGAAATCCACAAGAATCCTCATCATCATCCTCATTCGGATTAAAAAAGCTATCCCAGAAAAACTATTTAGCGTTCTATTTCGTTGAAAAATAGCTCTAGTGCAGTTCGAACCGACTCATTGGAACGAATGTCAAACGACTGTTGCACTGTTTCACATGGGCGCGTTCACCAGATACAAACGTTAGTAAAATGCTTTATGATTATTCGGCTAAACGCTACGTTACTTTCGGTTGAAGAAAAAAATCATGTTTTGCAAAGAATCGCCTTTAGTTGTATTCCTTTCAAGAGTTAACACTAGAGCTCCTCGCTCCGGTGTTAATCGACCCCGATTTGAATGGAACAGATGCGCTGTCTTTCGTGCATTCAAATGGTTATTCGGGCTTGGGCGCTTCAGGTGCAACAAACACTTTTCGAAAGGAATAAGCGCGTAAAGCCCCGGAGCTGTTCCGGAGCTCATCCTAGGTGTGAAAGGAATACAATTATTTTTGCAAGCATAAATTAAGAGTGTTTATAATTTTCAACACTTTGCTTGCTGACATGAGGTGGGTTCGGCTTGCTCACTCCGTGCACTTTGAGTGACTCCATTCGCACTCCAGCCGTTCGGGCTAAGGTTCGGGTACTGCTTTTTACCGTATTAGGGGTGACTTCATTAGCTCTGTTCACTCCACTCCAACTCCGCGCTGAATAGCCGAACCCAGCTATTGGTAATACACACTTCTACTACAGGATAGTCTATCCTCTTACAGTGACTCTATAACCCACAGTGGCGACAATTGCTGCCTCATTTTTGATTGGTTCTAAATTCCCATATATTTATATTGAAAGCACCGCCATCTTTGATACCCCCACAATCAGTGTTAGGTATGCGTGCAGGAACTACCAGTAATTATGTTGCAATACTTGTCTGAATATTGATATTCAATTATGAGTTGGGGAAGAACCAGTACAGTAAAAATAAAGAATGTGTTTCCCTAACAGCAATCCGGAATTCAGCGAAATTGGAGCGTTCTTACCCAAGTCCTTGCTTTTAATCACTCGCCAGCTCAGGGAAAACGTACCGGAAATAGCCAACAGCAACAGTAGTTCTTGATTGCCTTTACGTGTTCTGATTCATCAGTGTCACTACCACTCTATAAAGGAATACAATTAATTATAAATTTCAATCTCCAACCCAAGGACATTCTTACCACCAGGTCCTTTTGTGAAATTCTGAGAAAGAGGTTATTTAGAATTCCAACAAAATAAAAAAAACTCGTGAGCACGGGACAAGATGGCTATTTACTTGTTTATCAACAAAAGAAATACAACCAGTAAGGATTCATGAATATGCTTCCATTTCTATTCTTATTTTAAACACCAATTGATACCTATCGCAATTGCGTTAAGCTTACAGTTTTTTTATTAATTCTAATTATGTTTCATCAGCCTGAAGGGCATGTATTATTTTCCAGTCCAGATTGTATAGCCAATGAATGATATATGTGAAATTCTAAATATCTAATAATTACCCTTGAGTAGGTAAATCTTTTAATTAAATTACAATGACAAGAAGGTAAGTTCTTCTTTATAAATTTTACTTATCTTAATCACTTCTGGTACTGTTGGGTCTTCGACACGTCTCCTGAGCTGCGATGTTTCTCGGCGGACTTTGTAATCGACGTTCCACTCGGTACTCGTTACCATGCAATAATCAAGGTGCCAACTAACCCTCCAATGACCAGATAAAATCTCACAACGCCAAGGTGTATTCGTAACAACGATCCTAGACTCTGTCTCCAAGGTAAAAATGAAAGGATAGGCTCTCAGTCTTCCCAGCAGTCTCTCACAATTTCAACCATACAAAGAATCTACAGTGAATATTTATTCCTACTAATCACACGATCAAATCGAAATAATTAACTACTTACCCTGCAATCACAGGATTCTTGTATAATAAAATGATATCAGCACAGTGGCCAAGAATACTTGCACCACGTGGAATCTTCAGCAGCGAAAATCTTCCAACTTGGAAAGTTACTCACAGGAAAATTATTCCTACAATATTTCCTCTAAACCAGGCAAGGCTATGAATCCCAATTAATATTTGGAGAACTCAATTCACAATAATTAAGTTACTAATTAGCACTTGAACCTTCGATGCTATTACATCAGCTGCTGGAAGCGAAGAGAGAGAATTTTCTCGAATCTACCTATCAAGTAACCTATCACATTACATCTTTGACCTAACCTAGGAAAACACAGAGACGGATTCAAACATACGAAAACGAATGGTCATGTAAGGAACAACATTACACTTTTTCAGAATGGAATCAGACAACCAGGTAAGCTCAAATATCCCAGATCATTCCCTCAAAAATTATCATTCAACTGCAGAACTAGTTAGAACACTATTATGAGATGCATAAAAATAAAAACCAGAATCTATTCCAACAATCTACTCCGATCCTGGAATTGATAACTCAACGGGCTGAACCTAGCGTATGACGGTCGAAAGATTTCGCCTCCAAATAGCAACAAATAGAAATCTGCATTTTTGGTATCGAACCTAGTTCACTGACCTGGAGCAACAAATACGACGATCAACAAAATAGAACTGCAAAATTTCAAGAGAACCTAACCATTATTTATTGTTTACAATGCAAGATAAAATAATAATTATTGGAATGAATTTGGATATCCACCAGCCGAATTATCCAGGAGAAGAGATTGAAATAACTTATAAGGTAAGCAATTAATTATATTATTC